TACGTAACCTTATAGCTACTTGCAGCAATAACAAGCCGTATTTAGAGATTAATACATAGCTCCAAGAGGGGAGTAGGATGTTGTTACTGTCTCATTTTAATGTCACTCTGAGCCTGATAATTTGAAAGATCTCCCATTCCTCAAATAAAACTTATTTTCTGGCCAGGTGCGGTGGCTCAAGCCTGTAATCCAAGCACTTTGGAGGCCAAGGCAGGTAGATCACCTGAGGTCAGGAGTTCAAGACCAGCCTGACCAACATGGTGAAACTCCGTCTTTAAGAAGAAAAAAAATAAAAAGTATTTTCTTAGCCTGGTATGGTAGGTCACATCTGGTAATCCCAGCACTTTTGGAGGCCAAGGTGAGAGGATCCCTTGAGCACAAGTGAGACTAACCTAGGCAACACAGTGAGGCATTGTCTCTTAAAAAAAAAAATATTTTCTTTTCTCAGCCTAATCTCAGTTGTGAGTTATTCCCCATCTACCCTTTTTTAAATTACAACTATCTGCCATCCATCTCTCCCATCCTCTGGCAGTCATTTCCTTTATCCATTTTAGCTTTTCTATATATTCTTTACCTAAGAGTATGCTAAACTTTTTTTTTTTTGAGACACAGAGTCACTCTGTTGCCCAGTCTGGATTACAGTGGTGTGACTCAGGTACAAACAATTCTCATGCCTCAGCCCTCCAGAGCAGCTGGGACTACAAGTGTGCGCAACCATGCCTGGCTAATTTTTTAGTTTTTTTTTTTTTTTTTTTTTTTTTTTTTTTTTTTTTTTTTTAGTAGAGATGGGGTTTTGTTATACTGGCCAGGCTGGTCTTGAACCCTGACCTCAAATGATCTGCCTGCTTGGGCCTCATAGGTCAGAGATTTTGTGTAATTTGCATCTTTCTCCCAGGTGCATCCTCAATCTTGGCAAAAATAAACCTGTGAATCAATGGAGATCTGCTGAGTCACTTTATGGTTTACACTATCAGAGAGAACAAAAGTAGTACTGAGGCCAGGCGTGGTGGCTCACATCTGTAATCCAAGCACTTGAGGCCAAGGCGGGCGGATCACCTGAGGTTGGGAGTTCAAGACCAGCCTGACCTATATGGTGAAACCGTCTTTAAAAAATAAATTTAAAAAAAAAAAAAATAGTACTGAAAAGAGCTTTCACTCTTACAGCCCGGTGACACACCAAAAGAATCTATAAAGCAAGCGTTACTAACTACCCTTTGTTTTCCCAACGTTCCTGCCCCCAGAGACTCAAAGTCCTTTTCTTTCATCTTGTAAATTCTCTAAAAATGTTCTGTTCTTCATTGAAGACACTACATAAAAGCGGGAATTCAAAGCCACCTCAATGTGTACTCATTTCCTGGATGTCTTTCATGTACATGTAATATATATGTTAGTACACTTCTGCTTGTTTTTCTTTGGTTCATCTTTTGTTACACGGGTTTCTTTCAACAAAGAACCTTTGCGAAGGGTGAGAGTTGAAGGGAAAATTATTCTGCCCTTTCTCCACCTTCATCTCCTATTAATGCCTTCTCATTCCCCATAGTCACTGTGGTACCTCAGCAGTCTCCCTCCTCTTCTCCCTGAACACATGTGCACAGGTTGCTTCCTCATCTTTCGGCTCTTTGCTGAAATATTGTCTGCTTAATGAGGTCTTCATTGGTTGCCGTATCTAAGTTTCAGCTTCCCATGACACTCCTTAGTCTTGCTTTTTTTTTCCTTCTCACCATCTAACATACTATATATGATATTTACCTACCTATCTATTTTCTATCTATTCCAGACTCAAATGAGAGCAAAAATTGTGTCTTTTGTTCTCTGGGTGTATTTCCAATGCACAGACCAGCATTTGGCACATTGTAAACTCTCAACCACTGTATTTGCAGTAAATGAAAATCAATGTTAAAGAAATATTTCATCCATATTGGATCATATTGAAATTTTTAAAAAGAAATACTATTTCTTATATGAGTAATGATGGCATCATAACATTTTTGTTTTTATTTTTGAGATGGAGTCTCACTCTGTCACCCAGGGTATAGTGCAATGGCATCATCTCAGCTCACTACAACCTCTGCCTCCCGGGTTCGAGAGATTCTTCTGCCTCAGCCTCCAAAATAGCTGGGATTACAAGCGTGCACCACCAGGTCCGGCCCAGCGAATTTGTATATTTTTAGTAGAGATGGGGTTTCACCATGTTAGCCAGGCTGGTCATGAACTCCTAACCTCATGGGATCTGCCCACCTCAGCCTCCCAAAGTGCGGGGATTACAGGCGTGAGCCAATGCACCTGGCCCATAATAAGGTGTTAAGTAGCAGATAACGTACTAAAATACGGAGATGAAATGATATTCCAATTGCCATTGCCAAATTGTAACTGAGACAGTGAACGAGATCTGACCTAACCAACTCCATCTTGCTTCTAACCTTCAAGTTGTCCTGGTTCATTCCTAGGCGCAGGCTAAACTAACTTTGGGAGAAACTTAGTTTACAGTTTAAAACTCATAGTTTATAGTTTAAAACTAATATAACAGGCCTTCCCAAAACAACCTTCCTTGCCTGGGGGCTAGACTGCCTTTGTAGTACTAACAAATTAGTCACAAGATTAGAAATTATGGTTTAGGTGAGGTGGCAAGGTGGCTCACGCTGGTAATCCCATCATTTTGGGAGGCCAAGGTGGGCAGATCACTTGAGGTCAGGAGTTGGAGACCAACCTGGCCAAAATGATGATACGCTGTCTCTACTAAAAATAAAAAACTTATCTGGGCATGATAGTGCACGTCTATAATCCCAGCTGCTCGGGAAGTTCAGCAGGAGAACCGCTGGAATCCAAGTAGCGGAGGTTGCAGTGAGCTGAAGTTGCACCAATGCACTCCATCCTGGGCTATGGAGAGAAACTGTCTCAAAAAAAAAAAAAAAAAAAAAAAAGAAAAAGAAAAGAAAGAAAATTATGGTTTAGGAGTCCTGCAGCTGGGACCTACAAGATTCTGACCGTACTTAAACTGCTCCAGAGATCACTGCTTGAGATATTTTGCAGACCAGATGGATCAGCCGGCACCACCCAGATTGATAAAGTGACTTATCCTATCTTATGGCCTCCACCAAGAAACTGACTCAGCCCTAGGAGACAGCTTTGACTCCCTATAATTCCTTCTCTGACCTGACCAATCAGGACTCCTGGCTTATCGGCTTTCCCCCCAATCCCCGGATGCTGGGGAGACCGATTTGAGTAACAATAGAACTATGATCCCCAGCTCAGGTGGCTCTGCGTGAAGTATTTTTTCTATTGTAATTCCCTGTCTAGATAAATCAGCTTTGCCTAGGCAGCGGGCAACGTGAACCCATTGGGTGGTTACACTATTTGCTTTACAAAAATCAAACCGGTGGGATTAAGTACTAACAGATAAAACACATTTCGCCAATGTTGATACTGAAGCTGAATGTGAGGAACATAGGTTTTATTAAACTATTATCTCCTTTCCCATATATTCAGAAATGTCACATAAGTTTTTAAAATAAAAACATTATGTGATAAAATTGACAAGTGGCTAAATTAATAAAAGTCATAAAGGATCTGCTCAATATCCACACAGGGCCTTCTGCTAATCTGTAAAGGAAGAGTCCTCTATGATATCTGGTATCTTGGTTGTAAATCAAGAGGCCCAGGACAGTATCTGCTCGCTCACCTTGGTGTAAAAAAATTAATCAAATGTTGCCCTTAGAAATTCTTGTTTTTTTAAGATGGGGTTTCACCATGACGGCCAGGCTGGTCTTGAACTCCTGACCTCAGGTGATCCACCCACCTCGGCCTCCCAAAGTGCTAGGATTACAGGCATGAGCACCGCGCCCGGCGCTCTCAGAAATTCTCATTAAAGCCAGATGTTGATAGTCATCAATCAAACCAGAAAGTCCTCCCTTATAGACCAGTAGATTCTCTCTGAAGGCAAACTACAAGGAAACGGATTCAATTAGAAAACTTTGCTAAGCCTAGTCAAACTAGAGGTAATCATTAGCAGAGTATTAAAATCTATGTAGCAAGGAATCTCAGACCCATCTGTTTATTAGAAGCACCTGAATTTTAATAATTACCATTCCCTGGGCCCACCCTACAGGGATTGCTGTCTTGATTGAACCCCCGGCAGATTTTCTAAAGCCTTTCTATGTGACTGTAACGTCACATTGAGACAACTGACCTGTAAAGAAATCAAACTATCTTAAGGGATTGTTCTGTGCACTTGCTTTAGAGAACATGTCATAAAATGTTTCATTCGGCATTATTAACATGCATTTTGTAAAAACTCACCACTGGTAACAGGCTCACAGGCAGGATGCCTTTACCGATGAGATCTAGGCTTCTCCAATCAGTGTTCGTGATAATCGTCTGAGGCATAATGCAGATTGACTCCAGCCCTAATGGGGATTGAAAGAGCTACACTTCTAACAATGCCCATGGTGACTGTAGTTAGGCTATCTCGCTTTGGTTTCTGCCACCAATTTCTAATGCTTAAACTATTAGTCAAAATCACATCATTTCACATTAAGACCAAGAACTGGGAACTGAGCAAATAGCTTGCTTCAGACATAAAAATGCAGCAAAGGACGTCCAGACCTGTTCTCAACTGCCAGCGCTCAAAGGGATTAACTACAAATAGTTTAAATTTTAAAAAGAAATCACTTCTACAATAGGTGTATACAGACGTGACTAGTTTGAGACCCAAGCCATCTATAAAATGAACCCATGTGTCCCATTCCACCACCGAATCCAAGCACCAAACCCCGAAAACCCACTTAAAGAAAGGGAACACGCTTACAATGTCGCACGTCCGAAAGGCGGGTGATACAGTAAGCCAACCATCAACTTTGGACAATCGAATGAGGATTTAAATACTCCAACTAACATTAACTTAACAGTTACACCAGTTAATCACAGCTTTTTTCGGGTAAAAGTAGGCGGCTCTTAAAAGAGCCTTTGTGAGTTGGATAGAATTGCTGCCCCGAAAGCTTTACGCTCTCTCCCCACGAATGCGGCGAGCGAGCTGAATGTCCTTGGGCATGATAGTCACTCGCTTGGCGTGGATGGCGCACAGATTGGTGTCCTCAAAGAGACCCACCAAGTAGGCCTCGCAGGCCTCCTGCAGCGCCATCACCGCGGAGCTCTGGAAGCGCAGGTCGGTCTTGAAGTCCTGAGCAATTTCTCGCACTAGGCGTTGGAAAGGCAGCTTTCGGATCAGCAGCTCGGTCGACTTCTGGTAGCGGCGGATCTCGCGCAGGGCCACGGTGCCGGGCCGGTAGCGGTGTGGCTTCTTCACGCCGCCGGTGGCTGGAGCGCTTTTCCGCGCTGCCTTAGTAGCCAGCTGCTTTCGCGGCGCCTTCCCACCGGTGGACTTACGTGCAGTCTGCTTGGTACGGGCCATCTTACACCAACCGAAGAAACACAGCCGCTTAGTGCAGTGGGCAGTGCCCTTATATAGACTGAGAAACATTCTTATTGGCCCTGTTGAGTCTCAAAAGTCCCGCGCCGTAAAACCATTGGCTGAAGAGTGCAACAAAGTGATTGGTGAATTGCTGGAGAGTCTGATTGGATGAATTACTTCACTTTTGAATCCTCTCTTCTCTTTGATGAATCCTCTTTTCTCTTCCTTAACAGTCTGCAATCCAAGAGCGTTAATTTCCTAAAGTTGTAATTCTGCGGTTCTCAAGCTGTAGTTTGTAACAGACTACTTTGGAAGACACTAACTCTCATTCAGTAGAGGTGTTGCGGGGCCAGATTCCGAGGGCCACGTTTTATCTTGTGACGTTTTCTTGAGTCACCTGGACTGCAAGTACCTAGCTCCACTCAGTGAAACCTTTGTCATATGGCAGGATTCCTGGGTGGTGTACCTGAGAAATCACAGACCAAGAAGTCACCGGCATACAGCAGTGAGCAACAAATGTTAACTGACTTATATTTTGTTTTATATATGGTTTTTTGCTTCGGTTGAGAATTCTCAAAGCACAGGTTATTTTAGGTTTTCCGATGACTATCCCTTACTTTTCACTGGGTCCTACTGACGATATAGTAGGCTACCACCCCCACTGGCCTTTTCACTGTAACTTGAGGGGCACTAGAGTGGTCCCGTCCACCTAAATCTTGCAAGGTTTTGTAAACGTTACCGTACTTGCTTCTTCCCGACTACATTAAAACTTAAACATATTAAACATGTTCTCATTAGTCCTGTTTGCCTAGTCACTTGTGTAGACAGGGCAGCAGCAGGGCATGAATATTGGGCAGGACACGGCCCTGAGCGATAGTTACTTTGCCCAGGAGCTCGTTGAGCTCCTCGTCGTTGTGGATGGCCAGGTGCAGGTGTGAGGGGAGGATGCCGATCTTGTCGCGGACCGCGTTGTCCGCCAGCTCCAGGATCTTGGTCAGGTACTACAGCACAGGCGCCACCTACACCAGCGCGCCGCCCGGCCCGGCCCGGCCGGCATAGCTGCCCTTGCGGAGCAGGCAGTGCACTCCGACCACAGAATACTGGAGATCAGTCCTGAAGAGCGCGTTTTAGCCTTGGCTGCAGCTTTTCTACACTGCTTTCCGCTCCAGACATAGTCAAGTATTTAAATAATAGTTTAGGAGACGCACGGTGATTCTAGCAAAGCGCAAGCAGCTAATCTGTGTTCGGCAAAATAGCCTGTGCTATTGCCTGAACACAAATTCCAGCCATTCGAAAAGAAGCAGGCGTTAAAAAAAAAAAAAAAAAAAAAAAAAAAAAAAAAAAAACTTCCTAAGTAAGTATGCTTGAAAGGTCAAATTAGGCAAAGTTGAGCTTCTGGGAGACCCAATGAGATTTAGGAATTCAGAAACGGCCTATCACATATTCAGACACTAAAAGAACCAATCAAAAACCGAAAGAGCCATCCTCATTTGCATAGGCACGAAGTAAATAATGAGGGCGTTAGGGCTCGCCACCACATTGCTTGTCCTTACATAGGTTGTGAACATGCCTGAGCCAGCGAAGTCCGCTCCCGCCCCGAAGAAGGGCTCCAAGAAGGCGGTGACCAAGGCGCAGAAGAAGGACGGCAAGAAGCGCAAGCGCAGCCGCAAGGAGAGCTACTCCGTGTACGTGTACAAGGTGCTGAAGCAGGTCCACCCCGACACCGGCATCTCCTCCAAGGCCATGGGCATCATGAACTCCTTCGTCAACGACATCTTCGAGCGCATCGCGGGCGAGGCTTCCCGCCTGGCGCATTACAACAAGCGCTCGACCATCACCTCCAGGGAGATCCAGACGGCCGTGCGCCTGCTGCTGCCCGGGGAGCTGGCCAAGCACGCGGTGTCCGAGGGCACCAAGGCTGTCACAAAGTACACCAGCTCCAAGTAAACTAGGTGTCTGAGTAAAAGCGCCAACGACCCAAAGGCTCTTTTAAGAGCCACCCATGTTGTCATTTAAAGATCTGTAATTCTCCAAAACTTCCCTTAACTAGAGCCACCCCCACTTTTCTGCCTCCACACCACCACCTTCATGTTTTTGTTTTTACTTTCACTTTATCATCCTATTGCCCTTGATGGTGAGTAGCCGGGTGGAAAACAAGTCTGGGGTATTATTACAGTTAAATAAGGTCTGAAAACCCGAAACATTTCTCTTGTAATTCGTTACTAGCTTGCCAATGGTTGGAGCAGCAAATGATGGGGGAAAACACCTCTGCTGGTTGCATTTATAAACCACGGCAGATTGCTACCAGACTTTCTCGTATCCCGGTTGTTCCAAGTACACTAACTTCTACAAATTTTACTGAGTTTATATTTCTTGGATTACTTCACGTAGCTATATGTATTATCTCTTGGCAAGATGAGGAACCCTTCCATCTTCCTGCCTGAACATATTGAGGTTTAAAAGAATGGGTGCCGGGTGTGGTGGCTCACGCCTGTTATCCCAACACTTTGGGAGGCCGAGGCGGGGGGATCACCTGAAGTCAGGAGTTCGAGAGCAGCCTGGTCAACAAGGTGAAACCCTGTCTCTTTTTAAAAATAATAATAATAAATTTTTTAAAAAAAAGAATGGGCAACAGGATAGCATGACTTTGGAGCAAAGAAATGAAAATTCCAGGTGCTACATTCAGGTGCTTTTATCTGTAAGCCTTTTTAAGGCTTTGAGGACTGAGTTCTCCCTAAACTACCTCCTCTGTATTCTGGAACGACTTTGTCCACAGCTACTTCCTTTCCTGAAATTTCATTTTAAGAGAGGAGGGTTACAAGGAATTAGCATTTGTATGGTAGTCCTTAGAATGAATTATTTCATTCGTTTATTTTTTTTTTCTACAGTCAGCTGTGAAATGGAATCTCCTCTTTCACAGGTGACTGACCTCAAGACTTAGGTTAAGTAACTAGCCTCTTACACATAAATAAAAGTGAGATTTGAATCTCCTCTAGCTGATTCTAAGGATTACTTCCCACTATTTGTTAGAGACCATCCCAAGCAGGATCCTAGTTGCTGTCATAGGAGTCAAAAAATTTAGTCTCAATGGTAATAAAAGTGGTCAGGAGATAAACATATTCTTGGTTGCACAGCAAAGTCCTTACACCAGCAAAAGTTTCCTTTAAAAATAAAATAATAATGTGACCTTTGGGCCCTAAAGATCACCTGGAAGAAGTTTAACTTTTTCTGAGCACTGTATTCTGGAGGGGAAACATGGGCATTGCCAATGTAAAGGTGAGCTCTAAAATCTTATTCTCTATTAGCTACATGTCATTATCTGCAAATACCCACATAGCAGATTACTGAGAACATTTAGTGACCAAAATTTGTTTTTGTTTTAATTTTTTGTTTTGAGACAGGGTCTCTCTTTGTTGTCTAGACTGAGGTGCAGTGACATAACCATGGCTCACTGCATTCAACCTCCCTGGTTGCGTTCCCACCTGTCTCCCAAGGAGCTGGTACTATAGGCACACACCATCATACCCGCTTAATTTTTTTTTTCTTTTTTTAAGATTTTTGTGGAGCCAGGGTCCCACTGTGTTGTCCAGGCTGGTCTCAAGGTAAATTTGTAATGGAACTTGTGAAGAAAATTCTCTAAGCTCCATGTATAACTAAGGCATTCATTTCTCACTCTCCAAAGCTACTTTCAAATGCATTTTAAATTATATAGTCATGAAATATTCAAACATGAAGACATTTATTTCTTGTTCTCCAAAGCTAATTTTAAATACACTTAAAATGATATATTCATGAAATATTCTAGCATGGTTTAAGGGGGACATCCCTCAGGAAGTGATATAGTCCTGGTTGCCTGTTTCTATCCAGAGTTTGGGCAATTTATTTAATTCCTCTGTAAGTACTTCCTTACCTGTTGGTTCTAAACAGGGATAATAATTAGTAACTACAGCATGACATTACTGGAGTGTCCAATAAAAGGAAACAGCTAAAGCACTTAGGACTTGAGCTGTCTGCACAGAGGATGTCCCGGTAAATACTAGCTGAGGCTAAAGCCTCTGGTGAGTGATAGCGAAGGTGCCTTTGGTCGTGCCCACATTGAAAGCCCAGTATCCTGAGGCCTGGAATAATTATCATTGGCTGTGAAATGGGCTTTTCTGTCAGTGTAAACAATACTCTGAATAGTTCAATCCCCTCCTTAGAGCCACTGCTTTCCTCTGAAGCATTTTGGAGACATCCTACTGCCTGAGAATGTTCGATTTCCCTAACTTTGCTTGCCAATTCAAGCAACATGTGCCATATTTTCCAGGGTCTGTCTCATGCTCTCACTAGAACTAGGGGTGCCTCATTTAATGGTCAGATAGATGTGTTGAGTTGTAAAGAAGGAAACCTAGAAATTCACGTAAGAATTGCTTAGTACCTTTTAACGCCTTTTTTCTTCCCATGTTTCCTGTTAACTTTGCTAACGTTGCTGTATTGATTTTCCATCCATTTGTTGACTATGTTTCCCTCATATACCTCCAGATCACAGCCATGTTTTCAGATGAACTTCTGCACTTTAGTAAGTATGTTATTTAATTAAAACAAAGGAAATTGGCTGAGTGATGAGGGCCACACTTTCCTGAATCCATTCCATCCCTGAGACGTAGGTCACTTCAAAGGAAACTGGCATTAATGTTCTGCTCAATAAACTGCACCACTCTTTTGGTCCATGAATTCTATTTGAGATGTAACACTGCGGCACTAGGGCCCACTCCTTCACTCTTCGAAGCCAGGGAGGCCAAGAACCTCGAATTCGAAGTCCGGCCACACGATGATCTCCCACCACGCCCCACCTCCAACACTGGGAATTACCATTGAACATCTTGGGTGTGAACACAGATCCAAACCATATCAAATGTATATCCTTTGCTCATTCATCTGTCTTTTGTTTCAGGGCCCCAGCCAATGAATTTAAAATGGGTAGAAGGAAAAGCTGTTTTCTTTCCTATAGCACACAGTAGTTATGG